CATTGCCATTTTATTGCCAAATCCGACTTGTGCATAAGTTGTTATCTACTTTAAAAATTTTGGTTACATCTAAGTCTCTAGTTCTATGATATATAAAATTGCTTCATTGAATCTATCAAAAGGACACTAAAATTATAAGATAATGTATAAACCCCAATAAACCATATAGTCATTTAAATCTGCTTTGTCTCCAATTTATTTAGGCCTTGAGTCCAATTCGGTCGCCCCATCTTCCAGGACTCAGCCCAACCCTTCGTCAACAAATTTGACCGCCGATATTGGAACTATTCAACATCCAAGATTCGTTGCCGTAACTGCGTCAGAAGGCGCTGGAAGCACTTCTATCACACCAATCAATGTGGTTGATTCTTTTGGTCTTGGTGATGATTTATCTCGTGAAATGTTTGGTCTCGTCCAGGCAATGTTAAATCCCGCTCAGCGGGTCGCTTTCGCACAACTTCCCTCACAGACATCATCTACCGTCGCCAACCAATCGTCATCGGTGATGCAACCTAGCGTTGCGACCACAACTTCTTCTGCTAGTACTGCTGCAGCCACTGCTGCAGCCACTGCTGCAGCCACCGCTGCAGCCACTGCTGCAGCCACTGCATCAACTGCTATACCAATCGGCATACGTACTGCGTTTGCCCTCGACAGGATGACCCGCATTAATAGTTTGTCCAGTCAACTTGATCCACCCAATATGTTTTTGGCCGCTGCCTCCCCCCAGATATCGGGCTCCGTGCCTGCATCTCCATTAAATAATGCCAACTTATTAAGTGCAGCCGGCGAAAGATTCATCGTACCTGAGTCTTTCGTTTCCTATCTTCCTTCTGCTATCCCTATTTCTTCTTTCCAATCACCACAATACTCACGCTCAGTTTTCCGGACCAGTTCGGCTACTGGGGCCCAGACCAGAGTACCTGTCTTCACGTCACACAATTTGCTCCACCAGCATCATCATCACATGTCTACTTATCCACCTTTCCCTGACCCGTTTCTTGCTTGTCACTCTCGCCATTTCGCATATGAGACGCCGAGTGGCAGCAACACCGGTGTTTCCGTTGCCGCAGCCACAATTGGCTCTAGTGGTGGAACCGGTAATGTGACTGAACAAGCTATTACGGAAGTTGCTCCAGGTTCTGCTGCCACTTCTTCGACAGAATCTATCAGTGGTGTACAGTCGACGCGCTCACGTGGCCCCATCCTGCTTCCATTTTCAGCCGGTCTCCGCCGGAGTCGGTCTCGCACCCCCGCCAGTGCTCGGCAGCACCAAAGTCAAGCGACAACCGACTCTTCGATAAACGGTGCTGAGACAGATCGGCCGTCCAGAATGGCGGTATGAAGCTTTCGATTTTGTCTGTTATGCTTTGTAGGGGGGGAGTCATTAAACCTTGATAACCGAGGGACCAAGTGCTTCGGGTGTTCTTCAGAGTATCCCTGTAAGCATTGCCATATTGCCAAAACTACGTTAATACGACCCAAGAAAGCGAAGCTAGGCTTTGACCAAACAGGCAATGCTACTTTTCTATGGTGGTTAATGTTCGGGTTTAGTAAGAAGTATACCTTAACCGCTTCAAATATGATGCAATTTTTAAGGTTTCCTTATTCTTTCTCGTTTCCCATAATTGGTCATCTAAAAATATTTCTCAACTTTTCAGTATATATTTTATTCTAAAACTTACAATGGAATAAAATGCTAAATATTAAACATATAGGTCTCAAATCAGTTTTTGACTTATTTCTGCTGAATTTTACTGCATCATCAGGCATTTCGCCCGAATCGTCAGTAGGAGGCGCTATCGTTAGCACAGAGTTACAACTTATCATTGACAAGTAAAGGTAATCCCACTGATCAATTTTCTGTTCAACCGTTGTGGCCCTTATTTTTTGCCATACCTTACAGTGCTGCGTTTCTTTCTCTCAACCCCATTTCATATGTTTTTTTACCCATTCACAGCATTTTAAGTTGTTTCACTGAAAAGCATATCGATCCGGCTTGATTTTTTGAA